AAGCCTCTTGCTCCTGGAATAACAGATGGATGCTGCAAATTGCAGCTTTTGTTTTCAAATTTAATATCAGGTTTATCTTCTGTTGGTAAATATGTTTTCTGTTCAAAGTCTGTGAATATCTGTGCAAATATAAACAATTGCTGATATTTGCTTACGTAATTTCAAATCATATTTCTGCAACTGATAAGCTAAAGACATTTATTTTAACAAACAATGAGCTCTGGAGGTGAGAATGGTGATTGTATATTACTAAGGAGATTTTTTTCTTAAGACGAAGAGAAAGCAGAGCATCAGTTTGGGTGCAGGAAGGGCCATGAAGAATAATTGGGTCCCAGTGGGACAGGAAGGGGGAAAGAGATTTATCTGTAGAAAGTGTCTGCTTTGAAAGAAGATGGCTGTAAGTTTAGGGGGAAGCATAAAAAAAGTAGAAAGAAGGTAGCCGTTCTAAATACCCTGCTTGTCCTTCTCATCCAACCTCCTCTCTGAATTAGTGTTCATTCATTTCCTTTTCTGCAACAGGAGAGTCAGAACTCTTTCTCACAGACAGTCTTGTAAAAATGGAATGCTAATAATTTGTGCAAAGGAAGGGTCACGAAAAAGAGGGTGATGCATTGAAGCCAGTATATGGGTTGGGATCTTGAAGCTGATGCAGAATGTGACAGAAACCCAGGAATGCTGAGACTGAAGCGCATCTGTTCATATACAGCTGAACTATAAAAAAAACAAAGTCCCCTTTTCCTAGGGAGCCATTTGTGGAGGTAGGTAGGTATCCATCCAGAAAATGTCAGCTCTCTGCTCCATCTCTGCAATCTATTGTTTTGTCAAATGCCTGAGCACCCAGCCATATAACCGAGTATTTGTGAAAATACAAAGGGCAAAAGCTTTGCCCTCTAGCTCAGCAGGGATAATGACTTTGGCTGAGCTCATCTGTTTGCTCTTCAGACCAAACCAGCGCCAGGGTCTAAACCCTTTGACTACTACATGGCTTTCAGGCTAAAAATAAAAATTCGAAGGGGAAGGCTTTCCAGGGCTATCAGGGCTGAATTCTGCATAAACACCTTTTCAAATCAAGTGTAAAATAAATGCTAGGAAAGACCTTGTTGAAAGGGTCTTGGTGGGTGACTGGGTTAGTGATCCCTTCTTCCCTGGAAAGATAATACCCACTTTCCAGAGGGTAGCTGAGATAGCTTAGAGGAAAAGGTTTACTGCTTTTCCATCCTGCCTTTTCCTGCATTTGTCCTACATACCTTTGCTAGCTGGAAGTAGCAGCTCTTGCTTCTGATGTATAATTTACTGCTTTCTCCTGCTGTATCAGCCTTGTTTGTGCTGTTAAGTGTGTGTTTTCAGTTTGCAGTTGAACATGCTGTATAGAATGTACCTGGGTTGCAAAAGGCTTTTGAATTACAGAACTTAGCTGTCATAGCCTTTCCCACTTCCTGTTTCCTACCGGCCTTACCTTTATGAATAACTATTGAGGATGCAAATTTGGTTTACTTTGAAATAGCCTGAAGACCATCCTGCCACACCATTCTCTTCATAAAACATTTGGGAATTGTCCTTGAACTGGGCTTTGGGGGCTCCAAGGACTGGCATTGTCATTCTTTGTTTTTGTAATGCCACATTGTCATGAAATCTGAAGGCTTATGAGCCACTGCAAATTATTGTGATTAAGATCCACCTTCAGACATGCCCTATGAAAGCTGTGGGTCAAAGAACAAGGGTTACTGTTTAGTTGGAGGCAAATTAAGACTTCAGCTTTCTTGGCAAGCTTTAATTTAAATTTCAGACAGTGTATGTGGGAGAGCCAGCTGAAATTCAATGCCTGAGGGAGCCAATCAAATGCTGAAGCTTGAGAAACCTTCAAGACAAAGTGAAACATTAAATCACATATGGTGTCATTTATGAATTCTCATACAGCATAAGACTTGTAGACTTGAAATTCCTAGAGTTGAGTTCAAATTTCTTTTCAGTTATGAAGCTTATGGACCCAACTGGATAGTCTTATCTTTTAGAGTTATTGTATGCACCAAACAAATGTGAAAGCATGTCATGCTTCCCTCTGAGCTACTTTAAATCTCAAAAGGGGATTTCTGTGCCAAATTCCTACGGGTGACAAATATTAGACCCCAAAGAAATTTAGTACTCAAGACAGAGTGTTTGGCTTGCTAAACTTTTCATGGTGTTCTTGACGTGGGATAGAGTAATCAGGAAGGCATTCCAAGGAAGGAATGAGAGGTCAGATATCTTCATGTGGACTGGATAAATGCATAGACTGATCACAACAGAGGTAACACTTCTAAGTCCCCAGAAGTATTGTGGTATAGAAAAAATGATCCTGGAATTTGTCAAAAGGAAATAGACTAAACTTTATCCTAAATCCAGCTCAGGATTTAATACAGGGGTGGACAAATATAGGGGTTGGAGCTACAGCTTAGTCTTTCAATCATGAAGAGAGCTTCAGGAGGCTTTCTGATGAAATGATGGAACTGGAAGGGAGGGACTAATTTCTTAGACCTTTGGGGGGGGCTTAAATGGTGGGGACAAGAGCAGGAGGCGTCTGAGAGGCAAAGCACTCCTATTTCCCTCCTTAAAATTTCCCAAACAGCCTAAACTCAAGTCTCTGGATTTCAGCAACAAAACACCAAGTTTCAATGCAGCCATTTCAGGCCAGTTTGGGGGAGTTTTAAGGATGGAGGTAGGAGGAATTGACCTCCCAAAGGGCAACTAAGATGATCCAGGGGCTGGAGCAGCTTCCCTATGAGGAAAGGTTGTGACATTTGGGGCTTTGTAGTCTAGAAGGGAGGCAAAAAAGAGGGGACATGATGGAGGTGTACAGAATTAAGCATGGTGTGGATAAAGTAGACAAGGAGAAGCTATTTTCCCCTTCCCAAAATACTAGAACCAGAGGCTACCCAGTGAAAATGACTCCTGGAAGAATCAGGATAGACAAATGGGGAAAACATTTTTTTACACAACTCATAATCCAACTTTGGAATTCATTACCACAAGATGTGGTGCTAATTACCAGCTTGGCTAGTTTGAAAATAGGTTTGGACCGGTTCGTGGAAGTCCTGGGGATCCGTGGCTCTTAGCCTTGATGTCATGGGACTACCTTTGAAGGCCATCTGCTGGGAGACAGGTGGGCTTCCTTGGGCAGTTGGTTGGCTACTGGGAGAACAGACTAGATGAGCCAGGGGTCTGATCCAGAAGGGCATGGCATATATTCTTATGTTCTATACTCATGGAGGAAGGGAAGCTGAAAAATTGCATTGCTGAAAATCAGCTGTTTCCTCCACCAGAAGTCAGCAACCAATCTTGGTGCTATGTCTGCAAGTCGTCCATCCTGGATCAACGTAAGAAATGAATTGAAGACAACTGACTATAGCACAATCTGCTTTTTTGTTACTGTTGCTGTTATCTCTTTCTTTCTTTCTTTCTTTCTTTCTTTCTTTCTTTCTTTCTTTCTTTCTTTCTTTCTTTCTTTCTTTCTTTCTTTCTAGATGACCTGTCATGCAATGCAGAATGCAGAATTTAATACACATTTAAATACAGTTTTTTTTTTACTACAATGTAAACATCCATTAGTAAAGGTATAAAGAAATACAATAATGCCATAAGTAGTTCATTTCCATTTGATTTAGTACATAATAGGTGGTGAAATTACTGAGGAAGCTGCAACAGTTACATTTAACTTCAGAAAAGTATTGGTAAAAATGAAATTGAAAAGGAAAATCAAAAACCCACCATGCTTGTGGGTTACTCAAAACCACCACAACAGAAGCTCAACTACAGGTATATATGACCAGCCCAGAATACCACCATCCAAGGAATTATTAGAGATAGTCAGGCTTCATTTAGAAAATATAAATCACTCTCCAATAAAAAGAAAAGAAACCTGCACAGAAGAAATGCAAAAAGGCAATAAGCTTACAAACAAGATTTTGGGCAATGAATAGTGTGAATATTCTTGAAATGCATCAGAAGTCAAGAATCAAGAGTAGCAGTTGGATTATTGAATGGCAAGAACGTTGAAGGAGTGCTGAAGATCAATAAGTTGCAGAGGAGCCGAATGAAATTTTTGCATCTGCTTCAGAGCTGAAGGTGCAAGGCAATGGCCCAGCTGATACTTTCAGGAGAGAAATTTGGGAAATGATGACAGCAGAGAATGTTTTGATTCTTATTGACAAATAGACAGCAAACACATCAGTAGGTCCAGATGGAGCTCATTTCAATCTTATATCCGTAACAGGGAAGCTAATGGGAAGAGGAGGAACAAGGGATTGTTTGTTTAATAACATAATTAATTAAAACCTCAGTGACTTGTTATGTGTTAACGTTTATTTTATAAAAAAATATGAAGCAATATAATACCAAAGTAGAGAACTGTTCTGTAATAGGCAGACTGATAGACAGTTAAAAAGGAAAGGGGCAAAAAGGAGAAAAGTAAAGCGAGATTTGAACAGTCCATGATTAACTGACTGGTATCTGATTATTGATAGGATTAATAACACCAGCAGAGAGCCAGCAATCTGGATCCGATTTGGGAGCATACTCAGAGATAGCCTTGGGCTAGTTAGGTTTTCTCCCTGGTTCTCGCTGAGAACATCACTGGGCTTTTTTGCAGGTGGGGTGAGGAACCTGGCAGGGTGACTTGTCACTGATGTGATTGATGGTGGGACAAAAGAATTGCCAAATGTGCTGAGGCTCCATTTAGGTTCTGACGGGCTCGAAGTGATCCTGTCGGTACCAGACACAGGTGCAGAATTTCTAACTGTGGTCGTTGCACCATTTCCAAAGAGCAGTGCTGAAATGCTGCCATTATATGGACAGGGAAGTACCTGAAGTGACCTGTCAGCAACAGGGCGTTCTAGCCAAAATAAATAAAAAGGACGATTTTGTGCGTTCGTTGCTGTTACCAACTGCAATTAGATGGCACGTGACCTGCCTAAATATATTAAGCGTTAAACTTAGTGGGCTTTTCCCAGGACCATTTTTCATATTAGCCCCATTGCTTTTAGTACTTCCCTGTGCCTTGAGTATCCTGCTCACAGAAGAGGGGTCACCAGCTGAACAAATTATTAAGGGAAATGAAAACCGAAGTAGATTGTGAACAACAGCAAATTGTGCACAGCGGCTCAAATGGGCAAGTAAGGTAAGTGTAAACAAGTGTGCACTGCAAGGGTATAAAGTCCTAAAGATTTGGGGATTCTGGTAGATAGCTCCATGAAAAGACCAATCCAGTCTGTGTGAGCTGTTAAAAAAAGAAGCAGCACATCATGTGCTAAGGCTTACTAGAAAAGGGATTAAAAAGCCAAGATTGTTATGTTCTTTTGCAAATCTGCTGGAGACCTCGAATAGAATACTGCTTGGTTTCCCCATGCCAAAATATGGTGCTAGAAAAGGCCAGCCAAAACCTAGATCTTTCTCAATCTTAGCAGCTTTAAGATGTGTGGACTTCAACTCCCAGAAGTCCACATATCTTAAAAGTTGCTAAGGTTGAGAAACACTGATCAAGGGGCTGAAAGACCACATTTGTTTGGAGATTTTAGTTTCATAAAGAGTGACTATGGTGGGTCGTAAGAGGATTTTAAGAAGGTATATATGATGTAGAAAGCCCAGATCATTTTTCTTCTTTCTCTTAAGATCATCTAATGAAGCTGGATCGTGGTGCCTCTGTATCAGACAAAAAGAGCTGGATTTTCATAATACCTGAATAACGTATATGAGTTTGTTCCCAGATGTGTCAGTGTCCCCTAATTTATTAAAAAAATTACGATCACCAGGAGGGTACTGAGAACAGCCAATCTCCCTAAGCTGTAAAGTCAGTCCAGTGGAGCTTTGCGAATCAGAATCAGTCTGAAATAAATTTCCCAACTAAAGTGCACTTTATATGAAAGATCAGTTTGCCTAACACCTTTGAAATTACTTTTTGAAAATCTTGGGTTGATCACTGCATTTCCACTGTCAGTCTAACATCCACAATCCCCGTGGCTCTGAAATACATGTATTTTCTTTTTTGCACAATGCTGTTTATTCACTTTCTCAAGGAAGCAGCTGTTGGCATTTTGCCAAGTTATTCACCCTGAGCGTGTCTCTGCTTTTACAACTAACAAGGAATGTTTCTGTCAAATTTGTATAATCTCTTTTCTTAAGAGCCAGTGAAACTTGTTTTGTCTAGACGCCGAACTCTGAAGTGGCTGTTTTTAAATAATTTGGAGATCCCCCTCTCTAACTTCAAGATGGATTAAGTTTATGCAGTTTATCTATTTAAAATAACCTTAAAATGAATTTTTACTTTTCACTGAGTGAAATAACAGTGAACAAATAAAACAACGCTCCATAGCTAGCTAAAGCAGTCTTTCAAAGAAATCTAAATATTATTTAATTAACATTTCAGAGTCAAAATAGCAACAGTGTGCAAAATCAGATAATTTCATTGGATCTTTTATTATTTCTTCAAAGCTTCATCAGCATCTATCCTTGAACAGGTCAGATTTAGCTCTTAGTATAGTTGATACTGTAGAGCAGTGTTTCTCAACCTTGGCAACTTTTAAGACGTGGGGCCTTCAACTCCCAGAATTCCCCAGCCAGCGTGGTGGGGAATTCTGGGAGTTGAAGGCCCCATATCTTAAAAGTTGCCAAGGTTGAGAAACCCTGCTGTAAAGGGACAACTGCTGGATGTGAGTTCCTCTTCTTCAGCAGTATGGTGACCCTGTTATTGACAGTACTGGCAAGAAAGTAAGCTGTAGATAATGTTTGTCACATACAGATTTCATGCTGAAATGATTTCCCTGTTCATTCAAGATTATGCAAAGGAGAATCATTACCAATATTGAGAACTTTGACTAAGACAGTTCCATCTGGTTTTTCATCGTTTTGTTCACACATTGCCATCACATTAGGGCAGTTCTGCTCAAAACAGGCCGCTAATGAGTTCTCCCGAACATTTGGTGGGTGTGTTAAATTGGTTGCTCCTGCTTTGCTGCTTCAGTTTCTGCAGAGTGGTTTCTGGGGAGCATTTTTCTACTTCAGCAACATCATCTTGATTCCTAGAACACTGAAGCCTCAAGTGACCTGCATGTCTTCAGTTTGGAGTTTTCTTGACTTTTTCCTAAATCTTTTCTCATGGATCCATTTGCAGCTGTGTTCTAGACATCTGGAACTGTTTATACTTACTGCTTTTACCATTGTTACCTTTTGGACATGTTGAGGCTCGGGTCTATTTCTCGATTGGTGTCTGCGCATGTTGTTTCAGTAAGGCAAAGATTGTCTTCCCTTGCACAAATGCAAATCATTATGGGTATTGTTCTAGCCATTAAGACTTGCATTAGAAACTTCTCCACCTATTATTTGCCCAGATCTTGATTTCTTTCTTAAACGCTTTGTCCATCAATTTGTTTGTTAGAATACTCAACTGCAAAGACTCTTTACTATGATTAATGTTGGTTGGACATATTTATTTTTAGCAAATGCTTAATCAAGGATTATTGATGGGTGGGATAGCTTATATTTTACAAGTCAGAAGCAAATATCAAAGCGATCACATTAAACAGAGACAAATGCTGAAAATTTTCATTTATGAACAGGAAGTTAGATATAGAGGTATAAGACCAGGGACATGTGGAAAGGAGCTTGGAAATCTAGTTGCTGATAAGTGGAGTCAGGAGCATGTGGTTACTAAAAAGACAGATGCAAGTTAGGTTGTGTGAGTAAAAGTACAGTTAAAAATTCACAGAATGTAATAGTTCCACTTAATTCTGCATTGGAGAGAGATCAACCTTAAGTATTATGTCTAAATTCTGGTCATCACATTTTAAGAAAGATTCTGAAATACTGGATCAGATGCAAAGAATGGAAATAAGGATGATTAGAGAACTGGAAATTAAGTTTTGGGGGAGAGACTGGGGAAACCTGAGGGAACTAGGTATGTTTAGCTTTTTAAAAGATAATCTGGAGAAAAGATATGTGCAATTTTTAGGTAGCTAAAAGGGTGTCACATAGACCAGGATTTTATTGTCCCAGAGTAATAATCTTAACTTACAGGAAAGCAGAAAATCCAGTTGAATGTTGGGAAGAATTAGCAAATTTTAAACGCAGTTTGATTCTGAAACCAATAACCCAGGGAGGTTGTGGGAAATGTTCAAGCAGAGGATGGAAAACCATCTGTAGAGGAGTCTTTAAGTTTCTGCACTGAGCAGGACTCAGTGGCCCCAGTGGCCCTTCCCACTGTAGGATTCTGTGAAAGTGGACGTGAATCAGTCGCCAGAACTGGATTGGGCATCTTAAAACACCTTAAAACTTTGGGGTTTCTTGCTGCGAGACTTCCACGCAAAGCTGTTAAGGAGAACCCTGAACAACTGAAAGAAAGCACTATTGAGAGATTTTGTATGGTAAAGGAACCAGTAACCACAGTTAGTTTATGAACTGTGTGTTGCAGTGCCCTTTTCCTGTTGCTTTTTTTTGTTGGATACACTTCCCTTTTCGTGGTTTTTATGAGCCCATGAAATGGCCTTTTTGCTTTGGCAATCACACCTTCTCATCCTTTTCTTATCCTGCCAGTGGTCATTCCCCATTTTTTAAACTACCCCAGTCTTGGCTATTATGTTATTATAAGTTAATGTGCCACCACTCAGGTTTGTGGACCATCAGTAAGCTGCTGGTACATCAGTCTGCTGTTGGCTGTACAGGCCCAAGTGGGACAGTGAACCAGCCCATCATATGACTTAACTGAAGACCATACTTTCATTCATGGCATGCCTTTGAATGAAGCCTTGGGGAAGGGAAGTCTTGGAAGAATTGCTCCTTGGGTAATGTATTCTCCGTTCAGTGGTTTCTTTATGGTTGTCTTCAGCTCACCCGTTCTCTTTCTTCTGGGTCAATGGATCCTCCTTTTCTTTTCTTCGTATAGTTTTGTGAAGGAATAGCTGAGCCCTTCTCAACTGCAGGATTGTTGCCTTTCCGAGAGCTTCACTCTAATTCAGTTATGAATCATTGCTTTATTTCTCATGTCAAGCTCCAGGAGGATGGCTTAAGTGCTTTTAGTTGACAGTAATTTGAGGCACTCTGCCAAGCCATGTTCGGCTGTTGTCAGACATGGCAGCGGCTAGGGCTGATGTGCTGATAAAGCACCTATTCTGATTACCAATGAGTTTGGTGGCTGTTGGAGTCCTCCTTGTTTTTGCAGGGGCACTAATTAAGAGGCATATTAATGGGGGGCATTGTCCTCAAGGAGTGCAGGGTGGTTGGGACACACTTGGGTGGGAATGTTTGTAAGACCGTTGCCTTTGAAAAAGGAGTATAAAAAGTATTTCCCTGCAATGCTTTCTCCATATTATCAACCTAATGTGGGGCTCTGGAGCAAGATCAAAGAGACACTTTTAGATTATTTAATTTCTTTTAAGACAATTAAGCTGTTCAAGGAAGGGATTGGAGAGTTTCAAAATAAGTTATGTAAAATCTGTGTGACTTTTATCTAAGCAGCTCAGAAGTTGTATTTAGAAAGCAGGTCTCTACTGAAGACTCTGACCAGAACAGTCACTTCTTGTTTGGGGTTTTTTGGGGTGGGTGGGGAAGGAGAGGTTGCTCAGAAAAAGCCTGCAGTCCTGTTGAACTGTAAAAAAAAGATAGGAAAAATAACTGTATTATATTGCCAAGAAATATAAATATATATATATATATATATAAGTTTTATCTCCTAAGCCTATTTATTCAAAAGCTTAAATTAGGGTATAGCCAGTAAGAAGCAATCTTAAAGATAGATAGATAGATAGATAGATAGATAGATAGATAGAGCAAGCAATATGCCTTTTTTTAAAATTTCAGAGCTGTTTGGGTCTTTGAGTATAAATTGTAAGACATCCTACTACCTCCAGACATCACCCATGTCTCCCAGCCTATCTTTCTGGGTGTCTCTCCAAATCTGGAGAGCACTGAGTTGGGAAAGTTTGCATAAAGCTTTCGTAGCAGCAGTTGTGGACAAACTGTGCACAGTATCTAGTATGCTGCTTAATAGAGTTTGTCTCTAGAAACAAGTAAAGGTAGTAATGAAGTGCCCACAACTCTACTCTAGAGGCTGTTGTTCAGACCTAATGATTAGTAAGGCATTCCCATATCTAGATTCAGATGATCTGTATCTGACAGTTGCTTTAGATA